CATCAACTTAGCCATCATGTCTTCTAAGTCAACTTTTGGCTCTTGAATTGGAATAACTTACTTTTCAACTTGAGAGAAACCCTGTGGATTAGTTGGCCTTGCACCAGAAATAGATGCTTGGTTGAGTAATGTGTTAGGTTTCCAAGAAAGGTTAGTAGATTATTCCACCCAGAACTGTAGGTATTTGACTAGGGATTACCTTGATTATTACCATGATAATTTCTAGCATAGTTTACGATTTTTACTTGTTGAGAGAAAGGGCATTGTCCAATAAGATGTGTATTTTCACAATAATCACAAGGAGCATATATAGCATGAACTCCCAGATGTCTACTATTGAATTGATCAACACAGGCTTCAAGGCGATCAAATCTCTTATTAAGAGTTTGAAGCATAGGCACTACTTGGGAAGATGAAGAGTCATCAGTAACTCTCTCTAGTGGTCTCCCAGATCTCCTCTTATTGTTGTTTTGGATGTAATCAGTAGCAAGATCATTTAAGCAATTCCAAACATAGTTCACTGGTTGCTTCGTAATCCCATCATTTGTGACCGCATTCATTTTAGACTTAGACTCAGGTGTCATCCGGTTACTGAAAACTTTAAAACCCATCTCTCTTAATTATGCCCAGGACTCTGTTAAACCAGTTGCTTGAACCTTCCTAAGTTTCATACAAATATTCACCAAATTGTTAATTAAAATTTAGAATATTGGCTCTAGCATCAACCATCTTGTCATGCAGAAAGAATCTAGATCTGAACTTGCTTTCCATTTCTTCATATGATGATACACTACCTTCATCCAAATTGTTAAGCCAATCTTTAGATTTCCCTTGAAGAGAGTAAGGGAAGAGGCAAAGATAAATGACATCTTGAGAACTCCATTTTGCTTGAATGAGTCACATATATCAGGGAAGTTCACCAAATGTCTATTAGGATCGTCATCTTGATTTCTCACAAATTGCCCATTCATCTCAATCATCTTAAGCGGGTTTGCTTAATTTCAAAGTTGTTCGCTTGAAAGTTAGGCACTTTAATCCTAAACTGATATCCTCTAGCTTATCTATCTAAGAAATTAGTAACACATAGCCTATCATTTTCATTCTTAGCCATCTCTTTGTTTGTAACGTTTTTACCAATTAGAGGTTGAGTTTGAGGTGAAATAGCTCCCAAGAATTTTTTAAAACTCCTTGTTCTCACAAGTGTCATTTTCTACTTAACCTTGCGTGGCATACAAGATAGACCTACAAGAACAAAGAAGAAGATCAAGGATCTAAACGAACAAAGATGAAAAAAATGACAAAATAAATGCTCAAGCTAAAACTACTCAAGATCTTCTATTTCTAATCACTAATTGCCTAGATTCCCTGGCAACGATGCCAAAAACTTGATGCACAAAATTATGTTTTACTACAAGTGTACGGTTGGTAATTAGTAAGTAGCAAATCAAGGTCAATCCCATGAGGAATCAAGTTAATTGATAATTAGGCAATGAAGTTCTTATTTTTACATTTAAGTTGAGCAAGGCAAGATTTGGATTTGTTTTTTGCAAAATAAGGACTGAAATTAGGAAAATGCACTAAAATTAAAATTCCAATAATAACAAACAATCAAAGTAACCTAAGGTGGCAAATCCCTTCTTTAATTTATAAAGCATTTAATTACCTTAATAAATTCACTTAATATTAATGTTTTAATCTAGAAATCAATAGGAATAATAATCTTCTAATTAATTACACCCCTCTCTTGAATTAATATGCTATTCCTAACACAATTATCTAAGAGGCAAAAATACATAAATCTACTCTAATGTGATTATATGGGTCTAATAGGTATATTCTTATCCTATTAACAAATTAGAATAAATTCTAATCCCACATTACTCAATCTAATGGTTTAATTCAAATTTTTCCTCTTTTAAGGAAAAACCTAAGCCCTCAAATTCACACTCAATGATGGCCAAGCATTAAGTAAACAAATAAACACAAGATTAAGTAAAGAAAACTAATATTAATCTCAAATAAATGGTTCAAACATACTTTAATCTAAGAATCAATTCATAGCTATCCAAGATTAAATTTATTAGTGCTTTTAATGTAATTGGAAGTCATTTATTTGAATTTTGTTAGGAAAAATATAATTAAGTAAATGAGGTGTGTGAAAATAGACTTGGAAATGTGTTTAGAAGTTAGTGAACCAATTCTAGCATTAATTCTAGGTTTTATGCATGTAGAAAGGCTCAATTTAGGGGTCCAAAGAAGAAAATTTTAGAGCCCAAGTCAAAAGAGTTAAATCTGAAAAGAAAATTTAAACAGGTTATGTTTGTTGGCAGTGAAAATGCATTTTGTTGTAGCAAAGCCCATTTTAATAAAATGTACAGTTGTGATTGTCAGTGAACTTTGAGGGCTTGGGCACCTCATTCTCATGCATTATTCACCTTTAGTAGCTACAAAATGTCAAGGAAAAGCAAAAGAAGCCAAAAAAGGGTTGGGAAAAGCTTGGGTTTAGTAGAAAATCAAGGGTTTCATTTAAGATTGCTCCGATTAAGCTTTTCTTCTCCTTCTTCTCTTTACTTTGATGTGTATATTGCTGATTTTTATTATCATTAACAGGCGATGAGCTATTTGAGAAGATCAAGGATTTGGATATCAAATTCAGCAAACCTTTTACGAGGCACCTTAAGATAAGTAGATGGAAGAAAAGATCTATTTTTTTTTTGAACTCCCTTATTGGATTATCTTAGATGTTCGGCATTTTCTTAATATTATGCATATTGAGAAAAATGTCTGTGTCAGGAAAAACAAAAGATGACATAAAGGCAAGGTTGGACATGGTTTCTTTAGGAATAATAGAAGAATTAGCATCCCAAGATAAGGAAAACCATACCTTTTACCCTCCAGCAACTCATATGCTATTTAAAAGAAAACTACATTTTGTGAGTTCCTTAATGCAATTAAAGTTCTTAAGGACTACTCTTCAAACATTAGAAATCTTGTATTAACAAATAATCTAAAGTTAAAGGGCTTAAAGTCACACAATTGGCATGTTTTGATAAAGGATTTCATTTCGGTGGCTATACGTGTAATTTTTACCCCTAAAATATGAGAGACGATCACTAAATTATGTTTGTTTTTTAAGTTCATCCATAGTAAATTGACTAACCCACATAAGTTACTGAGGTTGTAAGTCTGAATTGCATTAAAACTGTGTGAACTTGAAATATATTTTCCACTGGCATTCTTTGATATTATGATCTACCTAACCCTTCACTTGAATAAGGAGGTTTAAATGTGTGGGCCTGCTTATTTAAGATAGATGTATCCAATTAAGCATTACATAAAGATTTTGAAAGGCTATATGAAAAATTGGAGTCAACCAAAGGGTTGCATTGCTAAATAGTATATTTGTGAAGAGGTTGTTGACTTTTGTACTAAGTACTTAAGCCATGTTAGCTATCTTAGGCTTTTAAAGTCTCGACATATGGGTAGAACAAGTGGAGAGGGATAACAGGAAATAAAGTCCTTACCATCTCAAGTGTATAGTAGGAGCAAGCCTACCTATATGTATTGTACAATACGAAGAATTTGAAGAGTATGTAGACAAATATATAGCTGAACTTAAGAGGGATAATATCAATAAATTAGATATTTGGTATGCTAGAGAACACAATAAATATTTTGCAAAATGGTTTAAGGAGAACATTCTTTAGATGTTAAATGTTGATTCTAATTCAATTTCTAAAAAAACTGAGATGGTTGGCTAGCAGTCCAAGTAAACATGTCATTTCTTACATTACTTACCTTATTAATAGGTTTCACATTTATATAAGGGAGTAAGATGATAGGAGCACGATATAAAATAATGGTGTAACTTTTATAGCTCATTCCATGCATATTTTTAGTACTAAGGATAAACATCATATCTATACAAACATGTCATACTTTAGTGTAATTGAGAACCTATGGGATTTATATTATATATCCTTTAGAGTTCAAGTCTTTCAGTGCAAGTGAATTGATCATAAAAATGGCTTGAAATTTGATGGTTAATTCGGATTCATACAAGTGAATTTAAGCAAGGAAGGGTATAAAGATAAGCCTTTCATTTTGACACCATAAGCTAAATAAGTGTTTTATGTCTTCGACCTGCTAATAAGAGATGATCTATTCTTTTGTTGAATAAAAAGTAATGAAGATATAACAATTGAGAATGTGAGAGAGAGAGAGAGAAGGGAGAGAGAGAGAAAGTAGAGGTAGGTGGCAGTGATGCAGCGAAGGAGGGGGAAGATTGGAGGTAGGTGTTGGTAGAAATATCATCAACAGTGACACTGATCTTAGATCAAAACACGATGATGATCATGTATGGTGATTGTGGCACTGATTCTGGCATCAAAGTTGAGTTATAGAGATGAGAAGAATGATTACGGCAATTTTATTTGAGATATGATTGAACAATAAATGTAAGTTCTTCTTCCAATGAAAATTTAAATATTAATTTATCGTATTATAAGAACTATTTCCTTTCACTAAACCCAAATACCAACCCCTATTGCCCATTGGTTCATTTGGCCTTTTATTGTTCATAATAAGAACAATAAAATGATTAAAAGAAGTCGAAGACGGAGGGAAATCGCATACGAAAACACTTCTTCACATGAAAAAGCCTAGTTTGATTCAATAATTCAAGGTAGTTTACGTGATCAGATCAATCAAATATATAATATTCACTAGGGGCCAGGAGGAGGAAGCTGCATTAGTGGGTCACAATTTAAGTGTGTATGTTTTTTTTTTTTTTGGGTGTTGATGCTATTATATTAGAAAAATAGTTTACATTATTATCTCCTAATCCTTCCAACATTCTTATAAGAAACAACGTGACTTGGAGGTATGTTGGTAGTTTAATAGAGAAGGTTTATTGGTAATTTCGTTATAACGTACCAAAATTATAAAACAAAAAAGAAGATATTTTGTCTTTTCTCTAATCTCTCATCCAAATACTCATATATCAACAGAAATCACTATAGTATAATTATATTTCAACAATAATTGTTAAGCATTAATTAACACCCAAAACTCATCCTCTCCATTATCCTCCTGAAGATATTATCATAGTTTTGTATCAATTGCAGGGTCATGGGTTCCAAAATTATCTGATTAATTAACGTGAATGTCCAAATCGAGACATCATTTGCTTAATGAACTCCCTGTTTTGACCTAGCTGGGCCCTACTGCTTCGTTCTGATCACCTGTCAATTGTTCTTCTCTGGCCTCAAACGTAGCTGCAACATTAATGACAAATGTTAAAGCAATTAATATTATGTTTATGGTTTCAAAAGATTTAGTACAATTTGTGCGGTTTTTCAAGAGTAGTGTAATTTTCTTATGATAAAGTAATTTAGTTTTGGCATTGTACGTTAGCGGCTATCAAGTTTCATGAACATGAGATACGACACAAGGTTAATTAAAATAAGATAATAGTTATTTCAATCTTACTCATTACTCTTAAATACAAGAGCTTCTAATAAAATTTAATCAAACATTTAAGACTCTTTTTAAAAAAAAATGACATTGTCTCTCTCGGGTTTAACTTAAACAATGGCATTAATTTCCATACTTTTTCTTCCCTCCCTAATAAAATATACCAATCAAATGATATTTTTAAAGAGCTGTAAAAAATCTTGACATTTTCTGCCGGTCTAAAATATAATTAATTTTTAAAAATAATCTGCATAATAATAAATATTTATTGTTATCAAAATATATATTGTTTTTTTTAATTTTTAACGTCGATTATCAATTATGAGTGAAAATAAGGTAAGAAATCCACGTTAATAAATACAATAGATAAAATGAAAAAAAATTATAACTACTGAATTGTTTATATTATGGACCAAAATTAGCCCGAAGAAAAGGCTAATATTTGAACTGGAGGGAGGTAACTAATTTTAATTAATTTTCTTAATGTCAAAAGCATGAGTAGGGAGAATGATAGTTAAATTCCAAAAGAGAAAATGAATAACGGTTAGAACTCTGACAAATTTTTTCTTAAAAAAACAATCAATCATAAATATCAATTCAAACAATTATAAATTTAAAAATTTTAATTTCAAATACAATATTTAAATTTTAAATATAACAATTAGTTTGCAATTCAAATTTCAATTTATAATTGTTTGCATTAATATTTACAATTTATTTTACAGAGAATTTTGTTGAAAATTTAACTATCATTAATTTATCCTTTTAAAACTTTATTGTCACTTTCCCAGCATGAGTATACTATATATATATATATAAATGCTTGAGCTAATTACCAGCATTATTTGCTTCGACTGTGTGAAGTTGTTCGGAGTCTAACAGAGGCTGATAACTTTGTGTTGTCATCTTTTCATCAGATCTTGTTGGTTCATAAGAATAAGAAGGACCAACACTACCATTCTCGTTCTCCTCATCCTCATGTTCTGAACCACTAAAACATATACATATAATAAAGCAGTCATGCCAAACACACTAAGATACAGTCATGCTCAAATTCAAGCGATGATCAAAAGTATAAAAGCCTCTTAAAATAATGGATACAGAGTTTATAGTTTTTTTAAGGGAAGAAAAACATGCCACAACAGAGGTTCACAATTACATTAGAGAAGAATAAACTAGGACTCGCTAATTAGAGAGGAATAAAATTTTCCTGGACAATTTCTTTGCTAAATTCAGCTCAAGCTATGAAGTCATCGTTCATCACTAATTTTAGAAAAGAATAGTTCCTAGCTAAATTTTGTTGCTAAAACAGATTTTTCTTGTAATATTTTAAGTGCAAGCAAGTATGTATAAATGATTTAGGAAAATATAATTTTGAATTCCTACATTTTAATCATGTTTTACTATTGATCGCTGCAATTTTTTTTCTATGTTTTATGTTCCTATACTTTTATTTTTTATTGTTTTATATCCCCCTATGAATAAAATGTTGGGACCTTAGAGGGAGTTAAAATAATTAAAAATAAAAATATAAGAATTTAAAATATTAAAAAAACTATAGAGGTCAATAGTAAAATAAAGATAAAGTGTAAAAAACTTAAAGTTATGTTTTATCAATAATTCATGTGCTGTGTTGCCAAGTTAGACAAAAGCTTATGAAGTGCTCTGGGAAGAACAATTCAAAAGTGCTTTAGAATTGATGAAAGAAAGCAAAGGCACTCTGACTCATTGAGAGACGTTCTTCTGACTGATTACTTAACCAATTTAACTACTCATGATCTTGATAGCAAATTTTGCTACCACACCATTGGAATGTGAATGAATTGATACACTTTTCTGATTTCTTTTTTTTTAAAATTCAAGTATCTTAACTAAACTCCAAAAGATTGCTAGGAAAATTCCTTGATAATTGGATAATACCAGGAGAGATTTTAAATGTGCTCTCTTATTTCTGGATGAAAATTTTAAAAGAAAATACCTTGTTGGTTCTAGTAAAAGGAGCTGTGACCGTCTCAGCACGAAGTTTCGAGTTGAAATTTGTGTGAATAACTTTATGTCAAGTACTTCCAGTTAAGCTTGATAATATTCAAATCTAGTCCAATAAAATAGTCAAATAAAAAAATATTAATTAATGAGATGATGATAATTATAGAGTTTTAATAATAGTTTAAGGAAGGTCGATGGACGCAACAGATGAAGAAAAATCATATATGAAGATGCTATAAACAAGTGAGATTTTCTTGAAAAAGTTTTTAAAAAATAAGTTTATGAAGGTACTCCTATATATTCATTGGTTTTTTAGTGGAAGAGAAAGATATATATTTACAAACAATTCACTTGTAATTTGAGAACTTCCATGTGCATTTTTTAAAAAAAAAAAGAATATTTATTTTCGTTATGTGTGCTTACACTGTCGATGTTGGAAACAAGCGAGCCAGTTGTACAAGAAGATCAAGGCCGTGATGTAGCTCAGCTATAATGCGGCAGGGACCAGGACGATGCATTTTTCCTGTAATTAACTCAATTCCATCAGAAATAAAAAGATGTAATATGTTGAAAAGGGAGGGACCGGCCCGGAATCCGAGAAGAGATACAATAAAATCATTGAATCGTTACATCTTAATTCAAATTTTTAAAGTTTAAGTTCATAAATTTTTTTAATTTTATATTAATTATTAAATATAACTTTGTTGAATGTGAAACTTCTCACTTATAAGTTCACTTAGATAATTTAAAAAAAATATATTACAAAATCAGAAAATAAACCTCACTTCTTGACTTGTTCACCTCCCTTCTATTACAAAGGGGGATTAGGAAAATAACACCCAAATAAAAAAATACCATTCAACTCCCTTGAGACTTTAATAAAATTAAAAATTAGAGCATATTTATCAAAATCCGTTGATATTTAAAAAAAAAAAAGTCATGAATTCAAATTCCTCCACAACCAGCTGCCCCAAAAAAAAAAAAAAATCCACCATGACCACGCCGCCAGAGCTCAGACAATTGACCAACAGTTTGTTGGCAACAATACTCCAATGGTGACCTTGTTTTTTTTTTTTTTGGGAAAAGAAAAAAAAAAGGAAATCGGCAAGAAGGAGCAAGAGGTTAAAATATTTGAAAGAAAGGATCAAGGTCTTTCGAATGAATTAAGGTTATAGTTTTAATCCACTTAATCTTAATTCACTTCAAAACCTTGGTCCTTTTTTTCCCCAAAAAATTAAATCCCATGGTCCTTCTTTCCAATCCCAAAAAAAAAAAACAAAGGCATTTTCCTAGAATGATATTTTCTCATTTCACAACACCTAATTAAAATTAGTCCCCTTTCAACCTAGGTGTTCTGTCATTCTCCCAAAAAATTATAAATGGATAAAATATTACAGGTTAATATTTATTATGAAGACTTTTTTAATAAGATAATGACAGTTAAGGGCATCAAGATTTAGAAACTTTGCATGCATATTAAAAATCTTGGAAGCCAGCCTAGATGGAGCAGATTTCAACTCAGTTTCGTAAAAGTCAATAGAAACATTCTTTTTTTATTGATAGAATTATTATAAGATCAGTAAAGACCATGGTTTTTAATTGGTACCTTCAAATTTGGAAGTAGATTTGGCTGTGCCTAATTACTTGCAAAACTCACACTACTTTATAATGCAAAATGTTATTGAATTTGGTTAATGAATGTCACATTCGAGTATTATCAAATTCAATTAAGAGCAACTCTCCTGAAAAAAAAAATTGTATATTACATATACTAGAATCTAAGACCCTATACTTAAACAATCATAACCTTTTCCACTATCCTATTAATCAGTTTACTTAATTGATTGTACGTGCGCTGTTTATTAATTAGACTAAGCCAATGAGTTTTTGATAAAATATATCCATATCCACACTAACAAGGACTAATTCGAGGGAAAGTAATCAGAGTGGAAATTGTAACCAATTTGGGTTTGTCGTATAGAAATGATAATTTCGATTTCAATTAAAAAAAGACTACATGCGGGGGGGGGAAAAGGAATAAAAGACCACATGAGGGAAAGTCAAGAGGAAAAAACTCTCTCTGCTTCCTGAAACTCCCACCTCCAAGGAAGAAGAAGACCAGCTTGCACGTAGTTCTTAGAAGGTTAAGAATGGATTTCAAGCAACTGAAGGCAATTTACTACAAGGATATTGGCCCCAGCTTAAAGAAGCTGCTGGTGCGAGTAATAGTAGACCAACTTTTGATGAAGAGTTGAGAGAGTGACCAGACAAGAAGAATTATCTGAGGAAGATAAGGATGAAGATGAAGACTCGGACTCAGATGAGGATAAGTCTCAGTCTTTGGAGAAATAGGAACCTGATTTCAAAACTGTTCAACGACCCTAAAAGGAACTTTCCCATCTTCTTTTTTTCCAAGCAAAGTGAAGAAAAGACTATACAGGCATGGAGGAAACCAGTCAATGTTAAGTTGCTGGGAAGAAGTATTGGTTTCAAAGCCTTAGAGTCAAGGCTTAAGACAATGTGGGCTAAACGTGGAATTATTAATCTGATTGACATTGGGCATGGCTACTTTGTTGTGAAGTTGTCCAATAAAGAAGATTATTTTCAAGCCTTAACAGGAGGACCTTGGATGGTTTATGATCATATCTATGTTTTGAGACCATGTGGCTATCTCAAGGAGGATTCTGTGATTTCTTGAAAGGAAATGGAATGGTAGTGCCACTCTTGAATGTAATTTATCTGATTTTAAAGAGTCTGTCTCTATTTGGAATAGGGAAGCTCTTAGTTTGGTTGGAAGAAGGAAAAAAACATGTTCCGGCATGTATTCATGGTATCCAAATTTCAAATTCCTATCCTACTTCGAATTTTTTAAGGAATCTGGAGCATGATTTACAATTAGAATTAGATGAAATTCTGAAACTAAAAGAGACTAAATGGTACCAAAAGGCTCGTACTGATGGGATCACAAAAGGGGATAGGAATACTAGATATCACCACCTCAAGACTACCAGTAGAAGAAGAAGAAATACGGCGGCAGCATTGAAAGATAATGATGGTAATTGGGTTGATGAAGAGGCTTTGAAAAATCTAGTGTTTCATTATTTTAAAAATATTTTCCAGGAGGAAACAATGAATAACGAAAACTTTACTTCCACTATTTCTTTTCCAAGAAGTGAGAGTTTTAATGCTTCAACTATGACTGCCATTCCTTCACCTGAAGAAATTCGTAAAGCAGTGTTTGCTATGGGACCTTACAAAGCCACCGGCATTGATGGCTTTTCTCCTTTTTTTTTTTTTTTCCAAGCAAACTGGAAAATTGTGGGTGATTCTGTTTGCAACTTTGTTACAGATTTTTCCAAGGAAAAATCTCTATAGATGATGCTAATAGAACTCTTATTTCCCTTATCCCAAAAAAGGAAATCCACAGATTGTAGGGCATTTCAGACCTGTTTAATTGTGTACTGTTTACTACAAGTGCATCACGAAGATTATTACTATGAGATTGAAGGCCATCATGGGTAAGTTGATGTCTCCATTCCAATCCAGCTTCATTTCCAAGAGGCACATTCAAGACAAATTATTATTGGGCAAGAAGCAATGCACATTATGAATAAGGCTAAAGGAAGAAAGGGCTATGTGGCTTTGAAGATTGATTTAGAAAAAGCATATGATCATATGAGTTGAGATTTTGTTTAACAAACTCTTACTGAATCAGGGATGGATGCTACAATGCTACATTTATTGACCTGAGCATGGACTTTATTAACTCAGTGTCTTGTGATGTTCTTTGGGAAGGCATGCAAACTGAATTTTTCACCCCTCAACATGGTCTTCATCAAGGGGACCCAATCTCACCCTATTTGTTTGTTTTGTGCATGGACAGGTCATCTCATATAATCTGTGATGCTCTGCATAAAGGTCGTTGGAAACCTATACTTATCACTAAGAGGGGGCCGTCTATTTCACATCTTATGCTTGCCAACGATTTACTCTTGTTGGGTGAGGCTTCTGAATATCAGACTCACACTATGCTCAACTGCTTGAATGTCTTCTGCATAAGTCAATAAGGGCACATCATCTACTTCCTTCTCAAAAAATGTTAAAGCTGATCTGAGAAGAAAATTGAAAAGACTAGCGGACATGGAGATAACTAAAGATATTGGCAATTATCTGGGATTTCCTCTTAAAAGGAATACAAAAAAACACAAGGAGAGATTTTGGCATGTTGTGGAGAAAGTCAAAGCTAAACTTGCTGGGCGGAAGGCTAATTGCCTTTCAACTGCAGGCCATGTCATTCCAGCAAAATCTGTTTTGAGCTCCATTCCTCTGTACCCAATGCATTGAGGTTGAAAAGCTTCAAAGAAACTTTATTTGGGGTGGAGACAGCAATAAGGGGTATCATCCAATTAGTTGCGATAATATTACCTTACCTAAATCCTATGGTAGTCTAGGATTCAAAAACTTGTGCCTCTTAACAGAGCTTGCGGAGCAAAGATAGCTTGGAATCATGTGAAGGGTACTGTCAGTTTATGGGCTGAGGTTTTACAGCAGAAGTATATGCTTCAATGTGATGAAAACCTACTTTCTGCAAACAGAGGTGACTCACAATTGTGGCAATATATTTGTCAACAAGAGATATAGTTGAGAGAGGTATGAAATGGCAGATTAGAAATGGACAAGAAGTAAATTTCTTTGATGACTATTGGCTTGCACCAGAGTTCAGAATTACAGATTTCTGTTTGAGGCCAACTATGCCTGAGGAAGAGCAGAGTAAAGCTGCAGATTGGGTTGCTTATGGTGTTTGGGATTTTACCCGAGCATCTGGTAGCATTCCAAGTGACGTTATACAACGGCTTATTCCTATCCTACCACCACGGTTGAACAGAGGCAGTGATATCATGAGTCGGTAATTCTAGTGGGGTTTTCTCAATTAAGAGTGCTTATTTCTTAATTGAAGAGAATCCATCCTGAAAGTAATTATAATGCTGTTTATTAGGAAATTTGGAAATGGGAGGGATCTGAGAGAATCAGATTTTTCATTTGGCAAGTGTTCACAAAAGACTTCCTACAAACCAGTGGAGAAGCTCTTGGTCACAGGGCTCACCAATTTGTGACAGGTGCAAAGCAAAATCCGAAGATGTTCTATATATTTTAAGGGATAGTGCGCGCGCTAAAGTTAGGGAAGAAGCTGGTGGCACCTATACATTATTCACAGTTTTCTTCAGCTATTCTTGAGGAATGGATCTTGGCTAATCTGAAGAGAAATATGCCAACCAATGTGAGTTTTAAATGGGAGCTCACTTGGGGGGTGCCTATTTGGAAATTGTGGCACTGGAGAGAAGAGTTTGTATTTAATAATGGTTTCCAAAAACCACGTTGCCCTACTGCTGCTCTGAAATTAAGAGGTAGCTTCGTTCAAGACGTTGCTAACCCCCATAATGGACTGAGTTTGATGGATAATAAACAGGAAAAATGGAACCCCCCTCCACCTCAGCGGATATGAAACTGAATGTAGATGGGGCTGTTGCTAATTTAGAGCAGAAATCTAGTTGTGGATGTGTTATTAGAGATAGTTATGGAAATTGAGTGGTGGGTTTCTCCTTTTCTTTGGGTTATTGCAATTCATATGAAGCTGAGTAATGGGAGTTTTAAAAGGTCTAAGGCTGGGCTGTAGGAAGTAATGTTATTTTTATTTACAAGAAGTGAAGAGTGAATTTATCTTAAACTTCACATGAACAAACGGTATTCACCCCAATTTTATGTAAAAGACGAAGAAACATATGCAGCAAAAACGTACGTATTCCTTACCATTACTCGTACTTGAGGACTCCTCCGCCATTCCCTCAAGAACGATATATTCAGCTGATTTGTAAGAGAAAAGATGCGAAGCAGAAGCACCGAAGTCTGCGATATGGAAAGCTCAAAGTTAGATTTAAAAGCATTAAATATAAGGCCATATTTTTTTCTATTTCAAAAATAAAAGTATAGAGTAATATGCAATAATCACTTTTATTTAGATGAGCTGGGTATCACGCATTCATCAAGGTTGGATCAAAAAGCATTTATATATAAACTTACTAATCACCCACCAACAAGCCTTAACAAACGTTTGGAAAAAAAGGTCATGAGCTAAATAGGTTATGGATCAATAGTCATGAAGCTAAATACTTATCAATTATATCAATGTTTGTTGGTGCAATAATACATTTTTAATATTATCATTCAAAAACATTCACTTGAAATAAATTAAATCAAAGGGGTTTAATCTGAGTGGAAGGGGGAAAAAAACATGGGGCCTATTTGAAAACTTATTCTAACAACAGCTTTCTGTTCTCCAGAACAAGAGAACAAAAAAAAAACTGTTGGTGACATATTTTTTAAAATGTGTTTTGGAGAACACAAAAAAAATATTGTTCTAAAGAACAGAAAAATAAAAATAATTTTTAAGCATTCTTAATTATTGTTCTAAAGAATAAGAAAAAAAAAAAAAAAAACACATATTTATTATTTTTTTGTTTTCAAAACATATTTTACAAAACATCAGTTCTTAAAATAATAAAATAAAAACAGTTTCATACAGCCCCATAAACTCTATCTAAGAGTATGTTCTCACTTGTCTGGTTTTTCTTTTCTTTTGAGGCCCCCAATCCAAGAATTCGAGTATGACTGGTTAACCAAAACATAAATTATAATCACCTCATTGATAGAATCGTTGGAAGAGGAGAAGGCAGTGTGGCCCATAGTAAGATTTGGATAGCCTTGAAGATTGAGAAACATGAATATGTGGGTTCACCATTAGCAAGGTCTTCTTTTGATCCCTTGCCATATGAGCTTGCATGTGAAGGTTATGGAACTTCAAGATTTTGTTATCCAGTTCCATCAGCTTCTCCTTGTAATGACACTGTTTGGGAAAGTTCCAGCTTCCTATTTTGGAGCACTTGGAAACAAGCTTCGTACCATCTTCTAGCAATCTCCTCAAGGCAAAAGTTTCCCTTCTGTAATCTGGTCCCTTTCAATCGTCTGTTTAGTTCTTCAATCTCTTCGATGACAGGACATAACAAATCGAAGTGTTTCTTCAAGTTCCTCCAATTTGGGTTTGAACGTCACGACGTTGTTCTTCACCCTCCATACTTCCTTTCGGAGTTGTTCAAACACAAGTCCCAATACAGCTCCCCCTACCAGCTCCAACGCCATGTCTTTAACCAATTCAACAGAAGTATCAGCGAATAAACTTTCTGAGAATCGAAAATTTCACCCTCATATCTAGGATCCCACCCTCTCTCTTGTTCTTTACAAAGGTGGTGGGTGGCGCCAAGATGGGAATAAATAAGAGTCAAAAACCAGTAAAATTTCACCCCCAGATCTAGGATCCCACCTCATACGAGTACCTTGTGTTTTCCCATGCACCTTCGACCTTCCTTCCTCTTCAGCTGAAAAAGAAAACTAACAGGTTAAAGGGGGAATTGGATCCCGATTATACCTGATGCTGGCGTTGAATACATGTATAATTTGAATTGTTCAATGATATAAATAAATTTATTTCTTTATTAATCTCAAATAAAATATAAATTTATAATTATTGATTAATTTAAATTTTATTAATTTAAATAATATAAATATATTTATATCTGTATTAAATACATTCATCAAATTCAAATATGTTAGGCCTCGTTTGGTATGAGAGAAGAGTTTTTGATAGATAGAATGATAAAAAAAATAAAGAATATACTTTTAAAGTTCAAAATACCTTTTATTTTATTTTTTTAATGACACATAAGCCAATTCCATGTTGAGTTAGTGGATTCCATGGTCTCTACAATGGAATTGGATTTCATCAATTTTGATAGAATCAGATTCTTTCAAGAAAGCAATTCTAGTATACCAAAAAAAAGTCAACTGAAGAATTCCATGTCCAATTCTATTTTCCTTTTCACAATTTTAATATACCAAACATGGCCTTAAAGAATGACACAAATTACTAGTTACAATTAATATCCTTGACTTTTAATTAACCTAATATTTTTTTACCATCAATTTAACCTAATTTTGAACAATTATAAGTAGTAATAGTGCAAAAATTTTAAAAATAAATTAAAAATTAATTATATAGATTTATTGTATTGCTAAATTTTGGAGTTAAAAAGTTGAAAAATTTAAATTCAGGTTTAGAAAAAAAAATCAAATGAATTTAATGTTCAAAATATAAAAAAATGAGTACAAAATCTATAATTGCATACGTTATATATAATTTTCCCAAGTAAGGGAGCATAATGAGGCCAAAAAAAAGAAAAGAAAAAAAAAAAGAAAGGGAGCATATGTTAGGTACCCACCCTCACTCGTACATGACACTATCATTGACTATAGAGACTTATACATTAATTTTT